ATGCTGGTGAACATCCTTTGGCCTTTCGTCCCGGCCGCTATTGCCATACACTTCGCTCGGAAGGATCTTCACATTTGGATTTTCGCTTTGAACTATGTTGCCATGGTCCCTTCAGCAAACTTGCTCGGCTTCGCAGGCGGAGAGTTGGCAAAGAAATTGCCCAAAGTTCTTGGAGTACTGTTGGAAACAACACTGAGTTCTGTCGTGGAGATCGTACTCTTCATGGTTTTGCTCCACAATGATACAGGGGGAAACCTGATCCCGGTCATCCAGGCCGCTATCCTGGGCTCGATTCTTGCGAATTTGTTGCTTTGCTTGGGGTTGTGCTTCTTCTTTGGAGGTATCAGACGCCATGAACAGTCGTTTCACGAAGCTGTAAGTGAGGTCGGGTCGGGGCTTCTGCTCGTTGCAGGTTTTGGTCTGTTAATTCCGAGCGCCTTCTACGCGGCCCTGAGCTCGAGTTCAACCAAAGCGATCATCACTCAAGAAGATTTGGATCATTCCACTTTGGTAATCAGTCGATCTACCTCTGTTATTCTTCTCGTTGCCTTTATTATGTAAGCCCCTCTGTTCTTGACCTGCCTTTAAGGATCGAGTCCACTCACGCAGTTGCACAGGTTCCTGTTCTATAATCTGCATAGTCATCATAGTATTTTCGATGAAGTCCTTGAGAATGACGAGCAGCGCGACGAGGATCGAGAGGAAGAATTGCAGCGCACGAAGCTCACTCTGACTGAGTGTCTAGTGGCTATAGCATTTTCACTCACGTTCGTATGCATGTCAGCAGTCTTCTTGGTCGAAGAAATAGAGTACATTGTTGAAACAGGGGTTTCTGATAACTTTATGGGTCTGATCTTGGTTCCTCTGGTCGAGAAAGCAGCAGAGCATCTGACCGCTATTGACGAAGCCTGGTGAGTCCGATCTGGAGATGAATTCAGCTGCGTCTCCGCCAAATTAACATCTGTTAGGGACAATCAAATCAATTTCGCACTCTTCCACTGTCTCGGCCCTTCAATCCAGACAGCTTTGTTGAACGCGCCACTGGCAGTCATTGTGGGCTGGTGCCTTGATAAAGACATGGGTCTCAACTTCGAAATCTTTATGATCGTCCTCGTCGTCCTGTCAATCTTGGTGGTTGGAAACTTCTTGCGCGACGGAAAGTCCAACTACCTTGAGGGAGGTCTCTGCGTGCTTGTGTATGTGATTATTGCTGTTACAACTTGGTACTATCCCAAGGTGGAAGGCGAGTCGGGCGGCCACTCGGGCCATCATACCGAATAATTTATTCAGTCGCGGACATCTTTCTGGAATCTGATTCGTTGTTTCTTTTCAAAGGCATATCGTTTTGAATAATATGTTTTAGCAGATGAGCATGATTGGAGTTGCGGGATTGTAATAGATGCTTTCGAAGCTTCAGATTATCTAGCTGATTGTTGGAAAGACAGTTAATTGCATTAATAGCTTTGGTATCGTACTTGATTAAGAGAAGTCCGCAAGGAAGTCGAAAAGAATAAACTATGTTATCATTAAGGAAAACGAGAATGCAGTTTACCACTCAATTGTCCTGGAAGTTGTTTTGTAGGAGGTACAACCACGGTACGGAGGTACTTAGGAGTGAAGCTTAGGCGCGATTCCACAACGGTTCGTTCTTCCGCACCCAAGCATATCAAAACAATGGAAAAGGAGACCGCAGTCAATCCAGCGGACAGAGTTATTGGCGCTCTCAAAGATCGCAAACTCCCAATCAATCGGAATGAGATCGAGTCGGCTTTGATCGGCATCGACAACAAGAATGTTGAGAACATTCAGTGGGTGGAGGAGCACCTCGGACCCGACACGCTGCTTTCGCAGGAGGAGCTTACACTGTATGTTTCCCATTCCTCACCCCGTTGAATTTTTATTCTCTCTATTTCGAAGCCATAGGTTATTGTTGCTAATAGTATCTTCTAAAGATTCACAACATTGGAGAATTCGGGCGCCTTGCAAAACATCATATCCGATCCAGATCTTGCCGCGACACGACCATTCTTGGACGATGACCTTCGCAGTGCGATCGAATCTTTGAAGACATCAACCTCCGTGATCCAAGCGCAGACGAAGATACTGAACTCACAATTCGAAATTCTGGATAAACAGTCAGGTCTGCAAGAACAACGAAGGATTCGACAGCAAAGAGACATAGAACGGCTACATCAAAAGCATGAAAGCGGAAGGCAACATATCGCAGCTTCGGTAATGAACAATATGTGGAGCAATGTTGAACGATTCAGGACTGACGTTTCCCAAGTCTAGTGATCTTGCACGTGAGCTAGAAGCGAGCCTGAAAACCGAATTGGAGAGAGTAACGAACGATGGCAGAAAGATCCTGTCTGTCCTGGCAGTCAGGGTAAAGGATGATGACAGGATACTTGCAGATCTGGAGCAAAGCGCTTCCCGAATACAAGTCACTACCGATGATGTCTCTATAACCAAGAGAGCATCCGAACTGGGTTCACTACTTGCGGAAAACGTGGCGGACGAGATACACTGCCGCCTTGACAGACTGTATCTTGAAAGTGTCAAAGCGGGCCGCGCAGATACGGCTGACAGAGCAACAGCGACGGAGGAGGAGGCTTTGATGACGCTGGGTGATGAACTAGAGTCCTTGTACCCAGAGATTGACATATTAGCCGAGATGTCCACAAGGCAGTTATTCAACGAGCCCATACTACGTGAACTTCAGAATGTCCATGGTCAGCTGCAAATGGCCTCCCACAAAAGGCTTGAAAATGTCGGTGGACTGTTGGTCGGAATCTGTCCGCGATTCAATGGCTGACCATCTCATAGATCCTGGATACCATCGTTGGCATGACAACGTCTATCGGGAGCCTTGGGGAGCTCCTGCAGAGTCGCGAATCATATTGCGCCACTCTAGAGGCTCTTACAGCTGCCTACAGGACGGAAATAGGCCATCAGTTTTCCGAAAAGCCTTCTTCAAGGCGAGAGACATTGAGTATGAGGAGGCGTTCTACTCCGTTGCTATCCATCCCTACCGCTCCAGAGAAGCGCATGGATTCTTCAGATTTCCAGGCCATCGCGGGCGTTCTGCGCCGCATTTGTCTGTCGGTAGAGTCAGTGTTCCAACTAGAGGAACAGGGAGGAAAAGATGATTGTGGCGAAAATGCTCTCTTTGACAAGAAACAGCACATTGTTGAGTGCCTACGCAATATTAGCCTCGGTGCTAAGTTACCCTTGGTGGCTGGATTGATCCCAAGTGATCAAGCTTCTCAACTTCTTGCATCTGCCCTGAGCGAACATTCTCGATTTAAGGCCTCGCTTTTGGATGTGGAACAAGACCAGAAGCTCAATGAGCTCGAGTCACAATTGGGTCGACTTCAAAAGGGGATTGAACGGCTCAACTTGGACGTACTCTACCAACGTGACAGGAGCCAAGAAAGGTTCATGGAAAAGTGGGCATAGCGGGGGAGCCTTGCGCTTATCATCGTGCTTAGACTTTTAAACTCCCGTCTCGTGCCGTCCTCGGAAGGAATGAACCTAGTAGGGCGTAGCGGCGAATTCCATATGCCTCCTCAGCTCTGTGGTTGCTTGTCCACATGAACGAAGGGATCAGGCATCATTTAAGGACGCTGACAATCCTGCGATCATGTTGGTGGCGCGGCGATTTGATGCGCATAAGCGTACGGAGTAGTATATGGTCTTGAGTTCCAGACTCTGTTGGATTGATGCTTGGACTGGCGATTGCAACATCCAACACTTCACAATGAGTGTGATTTGACAGGATGGATGTGGCTGGTGCTCTACCATCTGCGCCACATTCTGTTCAGCTCAACATGATATCACCAACATCTCTGCAATAATCTACGAAGACGTTCAATGGCTGATCTCTGGTCTGTAAGGCATTATTACGGGAAAACAATGGGAACTAGCAGTAGACGCGGGGAACAGAGGTTGCCTGGAATTACATCACATTTACAAGGGGACAGCCACTCGTCTGCAGGAACCCTTGTAGATTGTCTAGCCGCAGGACCTGCATCAGGAGGCTCTTTAGGGAAGAAACAAGGCCAAACCTCGACATCTTTGTTCGATTTCGAAATCTGTACGAAATCTGTTGGAGCCTTTTCGTCATCTGCCTCTAGTCACTATTCATTTTCATTGTCTTCTTCGCTTAGACTTGAGGTTTTCAACGTGTTCGCCTGACTCCAACTGCGCCCCTGTGACCTAAACCAGCCACACCTCATTGTCTCTCTTTACGAGAGTTCACCAGGAACCCTCAAAACTGCTTCTCAAAACTGCTTGACCAGGCTACGGCCAATGGCCAGGAATTGTGAGTAACTTAGAATACAGTCATCGAATAGACTTGCCTTAGGCTGCAGCCGTAGACTAGCCCGCATATGTACCTGGAAGACTCCAAGGGTTCTTCCGCCGCATGATCTAGCCTGCTCTTACAAGTTTTCGTCATTTGTGGTTGAAATACTTATAAGTATCTCAGTCGTCCGGCTTCAAGACGCCGGGATGGTTATCCTCTCTCCGTAGAACAATAAAAGGAACCGCTTGTATGTGTCTTCATGTTGAATAAACCCGAGGATCCTTTGTTGGTTCTCCTTACATTTTCCCTCTTCTTTTGATTATCAGGTGCTTTGAACTCATGCCTCCGGCCACATGCCTTTCATCGATGACAATGCTGTGTCGCATCTTCGCTTGTCTTGCAACTGCAAAATAGCAAAGTGCTCATCGTCTTTGTCTGTTACAAGAATGCGCAACTTCTGTTCATTGTTAGCCCTTCCTTCGACCAAGATACTCGCTCGATACGGTAATAGCATTTGGTGCGCATATCTGATCCTATATATCAAGGATCGACATCAGTCTGGCGTGACAGTTCGCCAGAGAGCTTATCAAATACCCATTTCTCATCACAAGGGCTTCGAGAGCCCTTCAACTCAATACTGCGGCGGAGGGTAGAAGGAATGTGCTTGATAGAGAGGTACACTGACGTATATCCAATGGAAATTCGAACGAGAAAAGTGATCCACAGATGCTTGTTCAGCGACGGAAGGGGGACTTGCGACCGCGCTCGAGTGTATGATCGCGGCGAATTCTACCACGCTAGACAGGCCCAGCAGGGAGGTCCCAGAAGAATGGCTTCTCCGAGGATCAGCACCATCGCGCCCAGGAACCTCAGTGAGACAAGGTGGCAGGAGACACATAGACATCCTTCGCCGACGGGGAGATCATCACAAGCTCGAAGCCGGTCATTTTTGTTCCGAATCCCGATTTTCAGAAGGTCTTCCGAGGCAAGTGACAGAGAGACGTTGTACGAGCGCCGCGGCCGTCAGAGATCGCCTCGTCCCGTTGTTGTTGGCTTCCCAGAGGTCGAGGAGCGGACACCGCGCAACGAGCGGCCAGATTCGGTCCGAATTCGATGCATTTCACCACGGGCAGGAAGATCTCCGACCACGACCGACAGGGAGCAAGCAAATGACGCTGTTGAAATACCTCGCCAGGCTCAATCACGACAACCATCACGAGAGCAACGACCTCCCCGGGAACGCACACCTGTTCCTGAACGTGAGCCAGTGCAACGGAGACCACGCCGAGGTCTAAACTGTGTAGTTGACATTCACAATGACGCGGCTGCATCGCAAGACAGAGAGCGCCGGAGTGTAGAACCTCGGCAAGTTCGTTTCTCCAGCGATGTGGAATATGAAATGAACGTAAACAGCATCAGGGCGCGTAACCGTTCTGCTGCATTCCATCAAGGAGAATCTATCGACGCAAGAGCGCCAACTCACCGAGCCTATCCACGCAGCAACGGGTTTGCAACAGACGCCGATAACACGAGCAACGGGGTGAGCCATTCGAGAGTTAGCAGTCCACATCCACGAGTTCACTCTCCCTATCCCGGAAGGGTGAGGCAGCGGCATCAGGAGACTAACCGTCACCGTCCGCGAATCATCCAAGACGGTACACGTATCATCTCAGAAGCAGGCGAGCGCATTTTAGCAGAGGGCCGGGAACGCCACCAACGCGGGAATCCAATGCGTGATGTCGACTTGCGCACTCATCGAAGAGCATCTAACGGTAGATGTGGTCGTTTGCGATTCTTCCATTCGGGCGAGGAAAACAAAGATGATCAGCGTCATAACGAGCGCTGGTTCTGACTGAGAGGAGCGCATTGAGCACCTGACTGTAACAGTAGCAGGCAAACCATTTCCAGTTTTTGAGTTCCCGATTGGTGAGAAGAAAGGTTGAGCGGTACTTAGAAGGCGTCTCCTGCACCATAGAAGCTTTTTCTGAACGTATTCATATACATGATAGATGATGCCAAGGTCGAAATGACACAGAAATTTGCAATCTCTCAGTGAAATTCTCTCAAAGCAAATCACTTGCTGAGCGATCAACATGTAATCGGTGAAGCTGATAAAGAGGTAGTCCGTAGATTGGTAAACAAAGGATTATTACCCCAACTTGCAAGCCCCACACGGCCATTCATCATACATGCATGCATATGTCGTAGATAGTTATTATGAAATCACACAAAACCTTTCCTGGAAGCCATATGCTTAAATAATTGTTGGGATCGTGGACTGTGGATGAGCTGGCACGGGGAAAAGCCGGGCGAAATAATGTCCGATAGTTTCATTCCATCCTGAGTTTGGGCTGCTGACCTTTCTGACTATTGACTATCTCCTTTTTCTCTAGTCAACCTCTATCAGAAAGACCATGTCACAGAGATGATGATCTTTATAATGTGATACTAATCGGTAGCGAGCTTTTCTTCATTTATCCTTAATCTCCACCCTGCCTCGGCATCCTCCGTCCCCTTTATCATCTTTGCAGTCCAAGACATACTACGTACTTTTTTTTTTCCCCCGGGGTGAGCAGCTCTGGTACACTGACCATTCTTAAATCAAATACTGACTGTCCGGTTTTTTAAGGCTTCAGACTCTACAGTCGCACCTTTTTCCATTTATCCAACGCCCGTCGATGTCTCGGTCAACATAGTGCTTTTACGGGCAAGCGTTACTACCTCCTCGTGCCGTGATAGTCATATGCGTTTGTTCTCCAACAAGTTGACCTTTCACCGCGGTTAACTGTTCGTCCTACGGTCAGACGATAAAAGGCTCGACTTAATCCGACTATTGCACGCCGGGCTCGGTCCCACAATGGTACTCTTACCAGAGGCGCTCATAATCCCTGTAGCTTTCAGGGTTGTCTCCAAAACCGCCACCCTCACTCTGTCAACTGACTGTGGCTGCCATAATGAACGGATGTCGCACCCATGGTGAGGGAGCTCAAGTGACTCCTGACTCGAATGCGCAAACGGACTCGAATCTGTCGAAGGGAGAAGGTGAGATGGGGTTCGGTCATGCTGGCGAAGCCTTCAACATCTTGCCGGCTACCGCTCTCGAGCTACTGTGTGTCAATGTCGAATTTCTCGCCAGGCCCAGTGTTGGCAGAGTCGTCGAGCCTGTTCTGGCTGCGGGCTCCGCGCCGGCCGCCATGACACGCAGCGACAGCTTATCCAGCGGAGAAGCCACGCCTACCAGGGTCATCGAACTACACTGCTCTCCAATCACTCATGAAGAGAGTGCTCGGGATCGCATTCAGCAGAGCATGTTGTCTAAGAGGTTCCTCTCGAAGAGAGAACCACCTATCAGCCTGCGCGACTACTTATTGCGACTTCATCGGTATTGCCCGATGTCTACAGCTGTGTACCTCGCTACAAGCATCTACATCACAAGATTAGCCACGGTGGACAGAGTGATATCTGTGAATGGCAAAAATATGCACCGTCTGGTGCTGGCTGGCCTTCGAGTGGCCATGAAAGCGCTCGAAGACCTCAGCTATCCCCACAGCCGCGTTGCCAAGGTTGGGGGAGTGAGCGAGCGGGAGCTCTCCAGGCTGGAAATCAGCTTTTGTTTTCTGACGGACTTCGAGCTACGGGTTGATGCTCAGATGTTGGCTGATCAAGCACAATCTCTTCGAAGCAGCATGGATCTGGTTCTCACAGAGATGGCTTAGCTGAGTTCGGCATTTTCCCTTCCTCGTTAGGAGACCTTATGCCATGAATGAGCTAGAGATTTTTTGGAGCTCCCTGGCTAGGAATTTGCAACGTTCGAAAACTTGTTTATAGACTTGCGTACTCAGGAACGACGCCAGTGACCACCCAATGGCTTGTTCTTCGCCTCTCGACAGCTTCCTCGTCGTCTTCATTATCGTCTTCTCCATACTCTTGTGCTTTCTTCTCCGGTGAAGAAATGAATCTCCTCAGAATAATTACACAGCAGAAAAAAATTTGAAATTTCTACACCGCAATGTGGCTGCCTAAATGACCTTTCCAGTTGAACAATCGCTCGTCAGGCTGGTGGCACACGACATAGCAGATTGACGTTATTTGTAGAAAGGAACAAAAAACAAGAGGGATAGTACGACTAAGTTTTGACTCAATCAAAGATAAAATATCTCACCCTTGGAAACGACCTAAAAGCTATTTAGAATAAGAGAGAAGATTGTCCTTCAAGTTGATTGCGTGTAAATCAATATCGTTAGCGTCCGTAGCGCTGTCGCGCAGGACTTACTCCGATCACCGCATCCCCGTATTTTTGTGCATTTCCTCCATCCGTTGTTTTTCCCCCTCCCCTATCTTTCCTCCCAGACCTCCATAGATTACTATCTTGGAGATCATTGATGAAGTTTTATGGGAATACTTTATAAATATCGCGATGTACCTATAGCCCAAAGTCTGCGGTCGTCATCTCCGAACGCTTCACGCTGTACCGTCATTGCTACCAGCGTCCTTTCGTTCCTCGAAGTCGGATCGAGTTAAATTTCCCTCTAACGAAAACGGCGCCTCAATAACCGCGACAGGAATGTCTTCCGGAACTCCTTCTACGGAACCGCAAAGTAGCGGCAGCTCTGCAGGCATGAGCACGAGCCCTACGTCTATACCCGCGGGCAAAGGCACAACAACACCTCCGAAAGTCACTCAACAAGATGTCAGTGTTGAACTGAAGAATATGCGGCCTGATCGTAGCCCTCCCAAGGGCTCGATACCGCTGGGGGAAGACATCATGCAGATCGCTCGTATCGGAGAAATCGGGCCCATGCAGAGGTTGTTTGACGAGAAGAAGTTTACTGCCAATTACCAAGATGAGGAAGGGATTACTCCGCTTCATGTGAGTACAACTTCACCGTTTCTGCTTAGTTCGGTTGGCCATTACACTCGGACTTGTATTGATGACCTCGTCTGGGATCACAGTGGGCCGCGATCAATAATCAATACGCCATGTGCAAGTTCCTGCTGGACAATGGTGCCGACGTTAACGCCAAAGGTGGTGATTCTGTAGCAACACCGGCCATGTGGGCCGCTCAGCGCTGTCACTATTATATAGTTCACCTCCTCCTCCAGCACGGCGCCGATCCTCTTTTGACCGACGTTCAAGGTTACAACATTTTACATTTGGCCACCATTGATGGGAATGCGTTCTTGCTGGTGCTCCTCTTACACCAAGAGATACCAGTGGATGCGATAGATCAGCAGGGTCATACGGGATTGATGTGGGCGGCGTATAAGGGATATCCCGCCTGCGTGGATATGTTCCTGCGCTGGGGCGCCAATGTGAATGCTGTCGATGACGGCGGGCTGACCCCCTTACACTGGGCATTGGTCAAAGGGTCGTTGCCATGTGTGCAGAAGCTCATCGAGTACGGTGCGGATAGGTTTGCGAAAACCAGAGATGGCAAGTCACCGGCCACGGTGGCCGGTGAGATGAACACGACGCGGGTCTGGTACCGTGCTCTTGACGAGTGCGGTTACGATGTTGATGGAAACACCAAGGTTCTGCCAATGGGGCTCACGTCTTGGTTACGGAATAAGAGCGTGATGTCAAAGTTCTTCTTTTTGTGGCCATTCCTGATGGTGTATGCGGCTGTCTACATTCTCAGCCACATGGTCATCTACGCTGCTATACCTATAATGCTTGTAGCGACATTTGGGCTGCAGTGGGTAGCACAAAAGGCGGCGAGTCAAGCCCCTTCGGAATACAGGGTACTTCAGAAAACGGTATGGTCCTCTTGTCGCTGGTTTCCTGCGCCCTGATTCTCTTAGTCGATCCTTGGCCTGATCGCTGCTGACGCATAACCAGCCGTATCTGTCAGGTGTCTTTGCGGGAACCTTGTTCTGGGTTGGTGTCACATATATCTTCAGCGTGTTGCCAGGTAGGCATACCTCACCTCGTTACTGCTCCGTACTAACCGTTTACGCCCTTAGCAACCTATTCCACGTCGCCAATTCTGAATATATTGTTCGCGGTGTTCTATTGCCTCACAACATATTTCTACATCTACTCGATGATTGAAGACCCCGGCTTTGTTCCGAAGACAGGTAGTCGAAACCAGCAAAGAGCCGTGATAAACGAGCTGTTTGAGCAGTGGAAGTTTGACGAGGAGAACTTTTGTGTATTTTGCATGGTTCGCAAGCCGCTGAGAAGCAAGCACTGCAAACGCTGTTCGCGCTGCGTTGCAAAGCATGACCAGTAAGTCCGTCCCATGTGCGCGATTATTCCTAGTCATGAGAGTCCTAACTTGAATGCAGCCATTGTCCCTGGATTGACAATTGCGTGGGAGCAAATAATCTGCGCCATTTCGTTTTGTACATTATCTGCTTGGAAATTGGGATCATTCTGTTTCTGCAGCTGACATATAAGTGTAAGTATCAGCTGTGTACCCCGGGACGAAGGCTTGGAATCTGGTTAACCAGGATCAATAGACATCAACATTCTACCTGCACCTGCGGGACCTGCATGCAACATCATCAATGAAGAACTTTGTGGGTTTGTGCTGCGGGATCCGTTCAGTCTTGTTCTGGACTTGTGGATCGCCATCCAGCTGGTCTGGGTTACTATGCTCTGTGCTGTTCAACTCGTCCAAATATCTCGGAATCAGACGACATACGAGAACATGAGGGGTCATTCGATAGATCGAAGCTACCCAAGCTCTCGTGCCTTTGCCTCGGCCATCACTGCGGGAACGACATCGCTCGAGGCCGCTGGCCTGTCAGCAGCGGGGCAAGGTCCGAACCCCGCGCTCGCAAGGGGCCATTCGCATCGGGGACGGAGACATGGGTGCTTACAGCAGTGGTCATCTCTGCTCGGCATTGACACGTTTTTCGCCACTGCCCGTGACGGGCTAAGGGACGGGCCCCGCGCTGATCGGCCTAAGAACCCGTTTTCCCGCGGTATCATCACCAACTGCCGCGACTTCTGGTGCGATCCTGCTCCGTACTTTGGCAAGCGGGAGCCAGGCACTGCGATGCTCGGCGGGGAAATCGTCAACTATAATCAGATGTACGAGGCCCCGATGCGCATGTACAGTGGTGGCAGGTACCAAAGCGTCGCACATGACGATCCGGAGCAGCACGTCTGATTGCGTTACTACTGTGCTTTTGACTTCTTGTATGACTTTAGAGTCTCCGACAGCGGTTTATGAATGTCCGACGAAGCTCTGCATTCTCATGTCTGACGGAGTCTGATGATTATTCGTGGTATAACTTGCTCTTTTCACCTGTAATTATACTTTGCATAGAGGCCTTGCTTCAGTGGATGTTGACTCGATGAATGTGCGCTGGTTTGCTCTGGACATGCACTTGCCTTAATAATGAATCAGAGATTGGATTAGACGACTGGATGCTCCTCTGTAGAGTCCATTTGTCTGCATAGTTAGACAGCATCACTTCGACTGGCATTGCAGTGGTGCAACAAAAGACTGGGTTCATGGTTATATACGATATGTAGGACAAGAATAGAGTGCACAGGGCATCTCATCTCGAGTCATTACCCAATGCAGCCCAATTGCCATGAGATTGTTAACTCGGGTCCCACACTCGTCCTACATCCTCTTGGACGACTATAAGTACACGATGTCCTAAATAGCTAGCTCCTTCGTGAAGAGATACTTCCGGAAACCGGAAGCCTGACGTATAATTCCCTTGTAACGAACCATACGGGAAACCTTAGGTTCCTTCGCCAATTTACGGCGGCATGACAGTGGAAACCGAGGTAGCAGTGGCACAGGGCTGAAGCCTAAATCCCTCAGCGTTATCAATCTCATCAGATAATTTTAACTTGGACAGTCGGTCAGATTCCCTGAGCCCTGACACCCCCTTCCACCATCCATTGGATCCTTTGTCGGTTTCTAGTGCTGTTCTACCTAGACTTGCACATACATCAACTGTCCAGGACGGAGTACGCAAATGCGATACTACTCTCTTCTCTTACTCCTAAAAGCATAATCTACTGTACAAGGTCATCCTACAGATCCGATGTCGCTGGTATTTTGCTGTCCACTTTCTGGTTTCGTGCAAAACAGTGGAGACGCTAAGATCTTATCTCGGGCGCGCGGGATGAACTGAAAATTTTCCCGCTTGTTCTGATCTGACAGTTTTTATTGACAGTGGAAATTTAAATTCTCCTCGACGAGTGGGTGGGACGTATTTCCTGCTTTATCTTTCCCATGCTGGTTGTACAGTACAGGTACAAATGTTAGACACAGCTGTGGGTCGAAGGATCATTACCTGATGCTTAAGCATGGTCAGGCAACTAACTGTCTGTCAGGGGATGAGCAGACTCGGAACGATCACTTCCTAGTCTCGCTGACTTATTCTGCAGAGATCGACTGTGGCCTGCAGAAATATCCCTGAAAAAGAAAGTCAAGGACTACCCAGTAAACCAGTCATATGCGCGCAGGTGGGTGAGAACGTGGCATGAGTAAATCACGATCATCGTGACCATCCCGGCTGGGTAGGAATCGCCGAGGGTAAACGTAGCGTAGCGCAGATAGCGGACTTGGAGCAAGTGGTCTGATGGTTTTTGTCGCGGCTAGAAGAATATGCCGCACAAAAGAGTACGAGCCACAACAGGCACTAATTTCTCTGGCGATTGGCAAGTGTCTGGGCAGTGGAGCCAAAGACAAAAGACGCACGAGGGGCGTCTCATGGTTATCAATCAACGACCTAATTTCCTATTTCCTAATCAATCAGTAACTAGTTCGATGTAGTAAGACGGCACCGCGTCGTGTCTTTGGCCATTCAATTAGCCGTCTGCTACATTCAGGAGTCAAACAGCAATTGTTTGTGCAAACTCAAAGCCCTGCATAGTCCCAAGTCCCTTCTCACATCTAGAATCATGCACTGCAGAACAAATCTGCCAGCCACCAATGTCTACACTCTACTAAAGCACCCATCCCTAATTCCTGACGCGGTAAGCGATGGAGACTGCCGATCCCACGTACACTGACTTGGCCGGTTACCTAATATGCTTCTTAGCTTTCGAGCCTACGTGCCAGCGACCACAGCCCACAGCCTCAGGAGTAAGTGGGGCCTGCTTTGCTGTAATCAATCAGCGGGGGGCCGGGCCTCCAAGAGCAAAAGCAAAGACCTCTAGTTCGAGTCCCGACTGTGTAACCTGTTTATACGAGGTCGTTGCATGTCACATACCTACCTTACAAGTCACAGCAGTCCATTACCTAGGTAAATAAAATTTTATTCTGGGTTTCAAGCGGTGAGAAGTGAGAAGTGCAGTCTGAGGCTACGAGTCGGACTGTCGGAGATGATCAAGGAAAAAGAAAACACTTGGCCCCAAGACAGCCACCGTTCCACAGGTTAGAAACCATCGGCCAATGGGCCCGCCCATTGGCACACAACCGTGGGATGGCGCCATCAGATAACGCGTGAAAATTTTTATCTGATCAGATTATCGGGCGGGATTCCATGATTCATTCCGTCATCGCTAGTAGTAAGGTACACATACGAAGTTGAAGTTCTCTCTACCTTACAGTACGTAGCTCCGTTTCGGACTTGCAATCGCACTATAGCATCGAATCGTATTTTTCAAAATTGGTTTGATGAAGATTCTGATTCATTTTCTGATAGTACATACGTAAATCATATGTATTCCGACTCTCTGAAAACTCTACACTGCTGAATGAACCAGAACTTTTGACTGCGCCAGAACAGTGTATATGATGGTCATAATCACAATTGAAGATCAATAAAAATTCACGACATGAGTACTCCATCAATGTCGGAGGGTAACATGGGATATCGTGTCCACGGGGCTCCCTCGTTTCTGCTCCGTCTTCCGGAATTCGTTTCGTGCTGTCAGAGAAATGTCCTTGGCATTCGCTTAGCGCAACGCCTTCGAACAGTAACTAACTATGCAATTCGGCTTTTCCTCCACTTTTTCGGCCCCCTTACAGCATGGCTCGTAGCCGGTGGCCCTGCACCACCGCTCCTTCCAGCTGCTCTCCGAAAATCGATTGGACCATCTCGCCACCACGAACAGCCAGTACCGACAGCAAACTGTCACTAAGGCCATGCGTCCGCTCATTACAACCTTGAAGCCAGATGCCGGCTTGTGAGCTGACCTTGCTCGGGTCCATCTCAACCCGGTAATCTCGGCGGGGCTTCCAATGATCCTGTCCCGTAGGTCGCAGGTACTGAACCTTGCTCAGGAGTCGCTCGTGCGCGTTGCGATAGTAGCCCGTAGCCACCATGAGAGCGTCTACCTCCAGCGCTTCTTTGACATCGTTTGCTGCGCCTTCCGACTCGGGCTTGGATGACTTGAGGTGGATGCGCATCCGACTCTGAGGGCCATGGTGCTCGACCCGTGTGATCTTGCGGTCTGGGAGGATGCGGTGCTGCCACTGAGTTTCGTCAGGGTTCTTCACCCTCTGCAAGTACATGTCGTTATAGATCTCCTCGATCAACTCCAGGCGGACAACACTGTAGTTGGTAGCCTTGTCGGCGGTCAGAGAGCGCTGGCGTTCTGCGGCAGATTGGCTGTAGAACTTGTCGACTCGTTCAGGGTTGAAGATCTCATTCACACTAGACATACGTCAGTAAATGCAAAGCAGGATATGGATTACTTGATTTCCTGCTCACAAAGGCGAGTCATCACTGGGCCGCATTGCAGAATCCCGCATAATTAGCGTTGTTCGTGAGTTGGGATATCTCTTTTGAAGGTCATGGAAAATCTCCGCAGCACTCTGACCACTTCCCAGAACGGCAATGTTGTAAGGCTTCGACTTGTCCTTCAAAAGGGCCGGCAGCGTTGTGCAGTACTTGGACGAGTGCATAATCCGGGGATCCTGGGGCAGTCCAGGAGGCATCTTTGCAGTGCCTCCGATTGCAACAACGACCTTGCGGGCCCTCCTGGCACTGATCTCGCCCGTCTCAACGTTGCGCGACCGGACAGTGAAGAAGTCAACCACCGAGCTGCTGGGATCAGACTTTCCGGGAATCACTTCGACCACCTCTTCCCCGTAAGCCACCACATCCGAAAATTGTTGCGCACACCAACGCATGTAATCCTCGAACTCCAACCGAGCCGGCAGGAAGGTGCTGAGGTTAGTGAAGTGAATCAGACGGCCCTTCTGGTGGAGGTAGTTGAGAAAAGTGAAGCTGCTGCGGGGGTCCCGGAGAGTTGCGAGGTCCTTGATGAAGGAGATCTGCATCTTGGAACCGGGGACCAGCATGCCCGAGTGCCACGCAAATTGCTTCTGGCGCTCCAGGAAGCAGACCTTAGGCTGTGCATGAATATTGGAAGCGGACTTGTTCAATCGAGGGTCCAGAGCGTCATGCAAAGCAATGGCAATGGCCAGGGACGCGGGTCCGAACCCAACACACAGAAGATCATGAAGCTCATCCTGGGGTGTTGACCTCAAGCGGGGAGGGTCCAAAGAAAGACGCTGCTCGGGTTGCATGTTGCGCACACCGAAGTAGCTCGATTCCGACTTCCGTTCAACAGGTTCCATAGATCAGATTGTACAAGAAAGAAAGAAAAGAAGATGTAGGTACCTATACTTGCGGGGGGGTCACAACTGAGGCGGGGAAGGAGGCAAAGGGAAGGTATTTTTCCAGGTGGAAGCAAGTCAGGAACTTGCAAAGTGAAGATCTCGAAAATGATCGGAGAGCTGTGGGAGGAGCAGCTGTTCTATATAAATAGAGGATCATCAAGGTAACCGCGAGCGAAAAAAAAAAAAAAAAAAAAAAAAAAAAAAAAAAAAAAAAAAAAAAAGAAAAGAAAAGTTATTGAGTTTTGGAGAATATATTGACTGACTGATGGTGGACAGGCTAGGACGCATAAACATGGTCTAAGTAAATTTCATATGAAATAGCGTCATAAGGTACTTTCGCATGGTTATTTCCTGGTAATTTTCGGAAGGAAATAAGAGAGACAGGAAAGTTGAAGAATGACTATTATTATTACACTACGAGACTAGACTAGAAAACTAGATTCTCCCAAGGTACAACGGACCCATCGACAGCAGAACAGCAGGTTGATGCTAGGTGTGGTGCTCTTGACAGCGGGCCCAAATTCGTCCTCGGTTCCACATATCCTGAGCGGGTTACCGATGGAAAAAGAGTGCTCAATGACTGAAGCAACATGTTAGAAGAAGGATAGGATACAAAACTTTTCAGAAAACATCTGAAAACTGCATATCTTATAGATCAATGTGTACTGGCTTGGGAATTGAGTCGTTATAGCTTTGAGGACTGACCTCAGGCAGTTCAAGGTAGCAGGCAGTAGTCACAGGAACCGTTTGACGACAGCTGCAGTACCTACTCAAAGGAAAAATACAAATGTGCTCGATGAAGATTCTACCGTTCTGTACAGAAGAAGAAACAAAGGGTACAAAGCAGTACGTACTGGATTGAAAGTGGGATGAATGATGATGGATCCATCAAGATTAGATCCGCATTAGCCCGATGTCGGGAAAAGGCTACGTGGTTCGGACATTTAATCAGTTAGTTCTCTTGCAATAGGCCCTAGTCTTAGACGCGTGGGAGAATGTATCTTCCGTGGTATGGATGGGGATACGAACAATGGACATAGATAGAATGTAACCATCCGATGCGTTGGATAGAGAACGTATGCGCAAATTGGACTGAAGATTTGGGTATGATATATGGCATGGCAGTACTTCGGCCATTGTAGTAGTTTTTCCTTTGCAGCCATGGCGTGGTAACTAAATATGCTTTACCCAGTATATACCCAGGCTTACATTCTACAGCTACCCTGGAACAGGCGGGGTATATTGACTACAATTCCATTTATGCAAAGAAAGCATCTGCACATCATGATGAGGAAGATTATTGTCTCCTATCAACGAGACAATTGCAGCAAAATCAGCTGACTATAATTGTCAAAAGGGCTAATGATTACCAGCGATGGTACAGCAATCTCGACAAGAACGTTCGATATCCCCCACCTTCATGGCATGCATGCATGCCCCGCCTTAACATACTGAGAGAATGCAACACCTTACCCTAGGTTTTCAGCCGACGAACAAAGAGAAAACTGGACACTGCCTCAGGTGACTCAAATAAATGCAGGACACCTTCCATGTTTCTTCTAGGGTGGCGCGCTTGACCCCTCGGACGCATGATGAGCAGCTGATTCTCGGACATAACTGCCGTCTCTTTTGGATTCAACCACTACTTGCCAACAAAGAGATTCGAGCCAATTTACTCTTCTTTCGTCTCGACATCAATAGTTCAAATTTCAGCTTGGCAGTCCTTCGGAACTTCGCAGCTTTGCTGTCGCTGACTTGTTGTTCTATTTAATACAATGAACCTACGTTCATGAAAGGATAACAAGTCCAGCAACATAGGCTTCATCTTATCCTCCCACTTTCACAGTTTTCAGATAAGTTCTGGTTTCATGGGAATCAAACTATAAATCAGCCTCTAACTTCCAAGTAATGCTACAGGATACCCGTATCACAAGGGGATGGACGTCGACACAGTTGAGGGCGTAACCCAACTGTCGCCTGAAACCTTCCGCACGGGCATTCTGTGGGTCGTCGCGGAGTGTCCTTGCGAGAGATTCCCTAGATGTAAGGACGCTATGGAGTTATCGAATGCTGCGGTGGTCATCAGTGACTTCCCTAACGCTTGAAGAGTTACGAGAGGACTTGTAGCGATGCGGGGCAATTTATAACAACCCTGTGCAGGCCATGTCTGCTACACCTGCAGCCCAGGATGTTCGCTGGTTCAAAACGAGGCCTTCTGATACTCCCAAATTGCATCCATCGCTCTAATGTTAAGTTCCCAGGCAAGACTCGGACTGATTGGCGAGAGCTCGTGTCATTCCTGCACCCCGGGATCCTCTTCGGGAGCCTAGCTTGGAAGCTTCAACCGCCCAGGACGGCATACGCCGACCTCCTTCGGAGCCTGTCGAATGATTCTGCGGGGAGAGATCGATACTCTCTACATGGGTATGATTACCAGTCTCAGAATTCAAGAATCACTATTCTGAACGCTTTGACAAACATGATGTTATTTACAACGGCTTCTGGCGAACCGGCTGAGGACTGAAGAGTCGCCAGGTTGAAATGGCGTCACAGTATTGCTAATGCTAGTAAACTTTGATTGGACCAGGTCGAAACAGATTTCTTTGCAACATTGGCACAATCATCATTTCTCATGGAAGTCTCGATCAATAGTTTACTACTTCAGCTTCTGACGTTTCCACCTGTATGTGCTTAATCTTGGTGGATCCGCCGGTGATGCATTTTCTCCATACCGCTTTCTCTAAAGCTCTGTGTGCATAGCTGAAGTTTCCGGAAGTACAGCCTAGTGCTTGAGATCTACCATGCTCTGTGCTGTCCGTCTGAAGACGACACTGGAATCATAGCCGCATTCTGTGAAGACAACACCTCGCCGCTGGCTCGGAGGACTTAACTACTGAGTCGACTTTTCGAGTTCACATCTCCCAGGTTTAGTCGAAGAGTGTTTCGTCCGAGTCTTCCTTCTTGAGCTGGTTACACTCAGTGATGGACCGTCATCCGATGATTTCGTATTCCAAGTGCCATTGGGCCTTTATGTCGGAAAGGAAGCTAGTTGCCAAATGCCAAAATCTTCACGTCCACTCTGTCATTCTGGACATAGTGGATCGAATTCCTGCTGGAATTTTGTTGATGAGAAAAAACATGAAGAAATCATGACGTCTAGTGGTTGACCCATAGGATCGATCACATGCCGCAGACGCACTTTCTGATCTCAATGCACCCAGACTAACAAAGTTCACTTGATGTTGACAATATTGACAACCGAAATCAAGCATAGGGATGATGTGTCACTTCCTGCGACCTAGAAAACCCAGCAAATCTCCAATGACATCAGTTGAGTCGAACATGCCGTACGCACTCCACCGTGTGGGAAATTGCAGCGTGGACTGCGGTACAATCGACGGCTTCCAGAAATCCTGCAGGTCAATGACGAAATCAAGGGGAGTCAAGGGGTCCTCAGTAAGCTCGTTGCTCCTCTAACTATCCCAGTTGGTCAACCTGAAGAAGGACGTCGCTCCAGACCCCAGTTCCCAAAGAGGTAGATCCCGGTATTCATGATGGCACTAGAAACAAGATGAAACGAATAAAGGGCGCATCCGGGAAGTGAACTTGGGTCATCGGGCATCCCATGCAGCAGGATAGAAACCAGCGCGATCAGTGCGATAGTGGATGCTAGTAGGACGTATCATATTCAGTCAACAATCAAGGGAAGATGGCGAGTCGTGACTACAGATTAACTTCGGTGTTCGGACGAGGGAGCCGAGATCTAATTCCAGCACCCTGATACAGAGCACCCTCCGAGGAATCCGGCAAGACATGACAAAATTGAGCTCTGACGATGAGGATGGTGCAAGGGGTCTTGGCTCGAGAGGCTAGTCAAACGATATTCTAGGTTGCTCAGTCACGGAGCTTTTGTGGGTGTTGGGCTCTAGAGAGGGATGCCCATCCCTCAGCTCTCAATAAGTTCAATCAAGGGTCGACGATATTGGCCCTGCTTGTCAGAGGCCTGAGATTTACGGCCTGCCTGCCGAAGACTTAACATGGAATTGCGGCCAAATATATCATCTATATATATATATATATATATATTTGTCGCAGTACTGAACCACGTAGGAACTCGGGATACATATAAATATACACATGTTTGAATTTGTGATATGGTTACAGAGATGTGATGAAGCACAATCATCGTTATTTGCATCAGCATGATAACGATAACCATAGATATGATCATGGATCACCGATAAAAATCCCTTGAGAACTTGAGCCGGACTGCGCTGATTATCTTGGGGCATTGACCCCCTCATCGGCCAAGGAGACTGAGTTTCAATGAATCGCGATGCAGCATGCGTTGGCGATCATCTGTGGGGGATAATTCGATAACCCTGTATGTAGGAAAGGTAAGCAAGGGAAGAGAAGGAGGGCTCTGACCCAGTGCCCGGTTACTCCAAGTTTAGAATCAATACTTGGTATATTCAGTGCGGACCATTGGCAATCGTGGTTGATCGTATGAGGGAGCAGGACGTGACAATCATTGACTGTTGCTTCTACGATGATAATGATGTTCCCTCTCAGATGGCGTTGGACGTGTCAAGATCAGTGCTCCATATCAACGGACCTTGGATAACGATAGAGGGCAAAACACGTGGATAGAGGGGTATCAGTGATACCATGGTCTTCAATAGGTACTCGGTGCTCAGTGATGGTCAGGATTGGTGAGAACTTGCTGCGACCTTCGATGGCTTTGATGACTATTATATATTTTTTCTAGCATAATCAAGTGACGATGTTGGCCTTGGTTGATTCCTTGGTCACGTATGGAGTAAGGTTCTCACAGGGTGAGTGTAAGCCCTTGGAAGAACAGCAAGGCCTATGGACATTGCAGAGGGACTACCCCCATAGCCCGATAGAGCACTCACTACATGAAGACAGTCTCGTATGAGAAACGTAGTAAGATCGCG